GATGGAGAACTAGCATCCTCTTGTCTTACTGCCTCTTCATCATCATACATTTGAACACCACTTGACTCACTTTCACTACCTTCTAAGCTATCCGAGTCAAGAGCATCAAGCATATTAACGTAGTAATTATGGTTACAACTCACTGCTCATGTGATGTGGACACAGTTGGCACGTAGATGTGGTACATTCCATTTAGGCATCTTGTTGGTTACTGAAGGGCTGAGTGGAAAACATTGAGAGAAACCATATATCAGCATTAGGTGAGATGCCAGTAAATATTTTCCAACTCACATTAATCCCATACATTGTTAGCGGCAATTTAGAATGACAATGGGAAACATTTGTCCCAGCCACAGCGTGAGTGGGGGGGAGCACTGGAAAATATACATCCCAGCTGCAGTTAAAGAGTTAAAGTTTTTTACAGTTTTTATTATATACTCCTCCTACTGTAGCAAAAACTTGTGTAATTATATAATTGCATTAGTTTAAATATTTTTATTACTCTGTGTGTGACCAAGGTTTTGTGAATTGAAGGGATGTGTATATTTGTGTGTGTGTATAGGTTTGTCTTAAGGTTTAGAGGTATGTATTTTTAAATGTCTTTGTGTACATGACAGACTAACACAGTTCAGATCTTATGTGGCTCCAATGAAATATACCTGGAATAGTGTTTTTTTATCAACAAAATAAATAATGTAGAAAAAAAAATCATGTTTAATACTGTAATGGTAAAACAGTGGGTAATATGAATTTCATGCCCCTGATTTTTAGAGGAAAATCTTTATTATTTGTGTGTGTAAACTGTAATTCAAGGTTGTTTCACTTCAAGATAAATATGTATACGAAAAATCAATTCTTTATTTATCAAACTCTTCTTCATTTTACTGGTTTTTTTCTTTGTAAAGACTATAAAAGCCAGAAAATATATGCACTTAGTTATAAATTAATTCTTATCTTTTTTTTTTTCTGTTTTCACTCTAGAATTTCGTGACTGCTTTTATCTCAATGCTCGCAGTGGTCAGATTAGGACTTTGGATGAACTGACTATTATAATGAGGTCACTTGGTATGAATCCAACTATTACAGAATTGAAGAAGTATTTCAAGGACAAAGGTACTTGTACACTTTAGTGAAAAGAAAAATGTAGAATTGAGAATATGTTTCAAGAACATTAAAGAATTGTACATCTGAAAACATAAAAAGTACAATTGCAGGGGTGAGAAATTACTTTAAAATGAAGTGATTATATTCTTTATGTGTATATTAAACAAATTTTGTAAATATAATGTGAAGTGTTTAATGATAATAAGGTCAAGGAAGGGTGAAAGTAATGTTTTCTAGTTGAAAATAACCAATTGTGTTTATCTCATTGATCAGAAATCTTGTTACTACTTCAATTTTCTATTTTATTTTATTAGAATGTTTTAATTTACATGAACTTTTTAAGTTTTATTTTTAGTTTTTACAAGTCTTTAAAATATAGTTTTAAAACTCAAAATCAAACACATTACAGTGATCTATTTTTATGTTCATTTATGTTTTATTATGTTTGTGTCATTTACAAGTCTTCTCCTGGATAATGTGAAGCTTCTGATACTGTCAGGTGTGTTTGTTTCATTCATGTTTAAACTTTGTTGTTGTTATTTTAAAGTCAGACTAATAAACAGTAGTTTATATTTAACAAATATTTTTACTCAAAAAAAAAAAAGTCAGAAATACTCAGCTGAAGCATCCTATAAACAAAAACATTTGAATTTCAAGAATTACTAACTGTTAAATTCTTTGACAGATTATTTTACTCTACATAATTATATATTTCTTGAAAGCAATTGCCAGTAGTATTATGAAAATTTATTACTTGCATCATGACTAACACCTTGTTTGCAAGAGATTATTGTTCATATAGTTGGTCCAAATGGTTAAAACACTAAGAATGTAATGTCAACAACGTGTTTTGAATATTGGATATATTGTTTTTAATATACTCATAAGTTGTTTATGTATGATTACTGGCCCGGCATGATCAGCTGTTTAGGGTGCTTGACTCACAAGCTGAGGGTCGACGAGTTCAAATCCCCATCCCACCAAACATGCTCACCCTTTCAGCCTTGGGGGCATTATAATGTGACGGTCAATCCCACTATTTATTGATAAAGAGTAGCCCAAGAGTTGGCGGTGGGTGGTGATGACTAGTTGCCTTCCCTCTAGTCTATCACTGCTAAATTAGGGATGGCTAGCAAAGGTAGCCCTCATTTAGTTTTATGCAAAATTCAAAACAAATCTTCATATTTTATTCATAAAAGATTGCATACATAAAAAAAAATCATTATTGTTCTTCTCTATCATGTACAAACCAGTAAATATTCCAGAACTCTGCAACTGAAAATGTTTCCTAATAGGAAGCCCCATATTCCAAAAAAAGAGAGAGAAATGAAGAGAGATTTAATTCAGTTTTAATATACAATTATATATTTTAACAAGGCTTTGTGTGAAAATTAAAATAAAGAAACTTACCATTGGTATGCATTCTGTGTAAGTGAACATCGTCTTACATCGATCATCCATACTCACATGGTACAAAATACACAATACCACAGACCTGTGAAGTTCGACAGCTGACAAAAAACATCATTATAGTTTTACAATTCTGGTCCAAAATATTAAAAAAAATAAAGATTAAAAAAAACAAATATTTCATTATGGTTATAAATGAAAGTAGCTTTGCATCTACAAAACACAAAATGAATAACCTCTATGCAAACACAAAAGTAATTTGAAATATAAATCCTTACATTTTTGTTAAATGTATCTTGTGATCAAGTTTTATTGCATAATTTCAAATACCATTGTAGTTCAATATCTTTGTGTAATTGTAATGTTGCAGGTTCCAATGCATTTTTAACCAATGAGTTGGTATTTTTATCACAAGATATTCATTGCTTTTCCCTTGCCCATTTGAAAGTATGAATTTCTGATAGTGTGCCAATCAACTACCCTCACTATTCACATATGATTATATTGTGTTCATTATAGATTATATTTGAATAAAAACTTTATTTTTCAACAGTTTTAAATTGTGATAAAGTTTGATACATTTCAAAATTGTTGTTTGTAACAAAAATTCTTTCACTTTTTCATCATTCAAATATATTTTGAGGTGCTACAGTAAAGTTCTTGCTATATATGTAGATTAAAGATGTAAATCTAGTAAATGACTTGACTTTCTTTTGAGAATTGTGGATTTTTTTAAGGTTAATGGATTTTATTTGCCTAAGCAACTCAAAGTGTAAGGTTCTTTTGTTTTCTGATTGTGAGGATTTTTTACTATCTAAACAAATACACATCTTAAAAATTTTTAGGAAATACAGCAAAAATTTTCTGGAGAACTGGTTTTTAAAAAGCAAATGGATTTGTAAAAATGTTTATAATTTATGCATAAAAGTGGATAAAATTTCATTATAAACATATATATTCTGCTTAATTTATCAGTATCATTTGAGTAAATGATGTATGTAAAATAAATTAAGGGTTAATGCAGCATGTATTCTTATTGTTTGAATGTACTTAAAATATGGTGTTAGTATCCATTTATTTATATTTTTAGATTGTAAAGTTGATCATGGAATGTCCAGAAGAAAGAGTTCCACTTGAACTTATTGCTTTATCCATAAACTTAACTACTAATAAGAGAAATGCCCAGATCATTTGTGAAAGCAATGGACTGACGTTCCTCATGAAACATGTTTTTGAACATCAGGATCCACTGTTGATGAAGATGATTCGAAATGTTTCTCAACATGAAGGTATTATTATCTGTACTTACCAGGAATAATGTTTTGGTGAATTTGGTATTTTATGTTACCCCACCTGAAACATTATTCCAGGTAGGCACAGGTGATGATAGCTTGTGCATCTGTAATTAAGTGTTTTATGTTACCCTACCAAAACATTATTCCTAGTAGGCACAGATAATGATAATTTCTATGTGTAATTTAGTATTCTATATTATTTGTATATTTTACAGAAAATGTTTTTTGATTACCTTGTAATCATATTGATGATCTTTTTGTTGTTAGTTATTTTATGTTTATTCATAAAGTATTTTTCTCTCTGAATATTATTTAAATGTCACTTTTTCAGTCAATTAAAAAAGTATTGATATACCATTGTGCACTGGTTTGTAGTAGTGTCTTTCTTTTTCCCCCTCTGAATAATTTGAGTTTTTAGAGCCTCATATCTTATAACTGAAACTGTATAATTTTTTCCAAAATGAGAAACTTTCTTCATTTATAGTTGTATGGCAATTTTACAATGTTAGAAAGGTTATATTTTAAGAATTCATGATGTTATAAACTACGATGGTCTTTACAAACTATTTCCAATTAAAGTTAGTGTTCTGAAAGTAAGTGTATCATCTTGGATGAGAGATTTAAGTTTTTACTTTTCTCCTCTCAGGACTTTGTTGATGATTTAGCAGTAGCAACTCAACAAAGTGACAATGAAGAATTTGTGTTAGAATGTCTAGGAGTGTTGGGAAATCTCTCTGTACCAGATTTAGACTTTGAAAGGCTTTTGAAGAAACATAACCTTCTCCATTGGATGGAGAAAAAGCTAATCCCTGGTAATTTTTTATGTTCAAACCTTAATGTTTTTTGCTGTTTTGTATATAAAAGATCTGTTTAATAAATTACTATCACAAACAAATATTAAACTTTTATATGAATCCTCATTTATAAAAATGGTGTAAGTATTTCACCTTCTGTCAAACTGGAATGCATAATTTCAGATGCATTGTAGTAGCCGTGAATTTGTACTCTATCAGAAAATTATTAGTATTATTCTTTTAAGATGTATAGCTCTGTAAATGAAATATAGTTTTCATGTACAAAAATGAAGTGTAAAATTTTATAAGCATTATGTTATTTATAACCTGATAATTCCTACAAATTGAAAGTCAAACTAGTAGCAATCATCCATTGTTTCTTAAAATACTACAATATAGAAACATTTTAACTCTGAATCCTTACAGAATGAGCCCTGTGTGTTTTAGTGTAAGATATAAGTATTCGTTGTTGGTTGTAATGTTAAATATGTCTATTTTTGTTATTTTTTATATCATTATTTATTTTTATTATAAGGATTAATTTACAATTTTAGCTTAGTATATGAATTTAAGGCTAACCTAAGTCTCCTAAGCTGGCCAAACCTATTGAGATATGTTGGATTACACTGAAAACATGGCTAACAGTGAAGGTACGAAAAATGGTGAAACATGCATTCTAATTTTATAAGTAAGAACATATATATAATAACAGTGTATTAAACAATCTATACTCAGTAGTAGGTTGATTTTCATTTCTGATCTATATAGGTAACTTACTTTAATTAGAAGTTAATATTAAGTCTACAAAAACCAACAAACAATACATCATTTATCATTACACATAATAATTCCAATTATGTACATTATTTCCTAAATATATTTCACAACCAATTATCTGAGATATTCCCTTATAATACTCAGTTTGCTAGTGGGGAATGAGCACATGAATGATTGACTGTACAGTAAATCTATACAACATTCATTTCAAATTACCTTTAAAACACATGTAAATGAGTTTTGAACCTATCATAAATGTAGACAGCTCATAGCTAGACACAATGTATATTAAAGTCTGGTTCAGAACAGTCAATAAAGCCAGACTTGCTACCTTACTTGGTAAGGCTAGTCTTTTTAGTTGAAGGCAGATAAATGTCAATCTCAAGGCCTTTTCTTTGCTACTAATAAAAATGACAAAAATAGCTGAGTATTGTTGAAAACTCCAAAAATATGTAAAAGAATATATTGATAAAAGAGTTAGCACAAAGGATCACGTATAAAGTGTAATAAACTTAAAATAAGACCCAGAACTCGAGCGCTTTTGAATAGTTGACTATTCTTCTTCAGGAGAACAAAGGGCCTGAAGAAAAATAGTCAACTATTCGAAAGTGCTCGAGTTTTGGATCTTATTTTAAGTTTGTAAAAGAATATGATTTTTGTATGGAAACATTCTAAATACTGAAGTTTCAGGATTAAAAATAAAATGAAAATCCATGCTGCGAAATATTTCTATAAATTAAAATAAATTACTGGAAAATAAAATCAGTATCATCTCTATTATATCTGATATTGAATAAATACAAGTAAGCTACATTTTTAGCAGCTCCTTTTTGGTCACTAGTTTATTTTTATATTCAGTAGCATTGAAAACAAGTTAGTAGTATAAATCAGTCAAGTATATATGAAAATTCATGAACTAGTAAGTCCTTTAACGTGTTGAATGTTGAAGTAAGAATAGTGTTTAGGGGTTTTCAAGGTGATACTTATATTTATGAACTAAAGTGATGCAGTTTTTATATCCTTCATAAAAGCATTTATCAGAAGTCAACCAGTGACAGGAAGCATGTTTTAGCAAGGCTGGTGGGCTGTTGAGACTTTAACATTATTATTGTGGATACTTAGAAGAAACCAAATGTATTTTTTCTTTCTCCAGTATTACCTATAAATTGGCAACAGATATTCTCTGTGTCAGTTAAGCCAAATTTTTTATGACGGATAGGAAACAGCATCAAGTACATTAGTCGGAATTGGCGTATTGTTGTTCACAGACACATTTTCAAATGTGTCTGTGCACTGAAACTACACTTGGAAGTAGTAGAAGAGACAGGCACTGCTAAACACAGTTTGATAAGTTGCATGGTTTGTGGGAAAAGGTTCTTTATGACAGGTGGCTAATTCACAAGTATAACTGTATTACATCAACAACAGGTGTTAGTTTATACTCCTTTCCTATAATAGGGTCAATGAATTTCAGATTCATATTTGAAAACATTTCTAATTCTGTAATGTCTCCTCATTGAAATTTTCCTTGTGGATTCCAAGAGCTGTGGTTACTTCATCATTGGTCAACTTCTGTTTGTTTATAGCAGAATTCAAGATAAGATTTTCTAGACAAGCAAGTTTATGTAATCCTTTATGATCAAAACAGTCTTCTATAACTCTCAGCAAGCAATCTGTGCATTAAAAATACCATTTTTGCTTGACTTCAGAAAACTTCCATCTTAGTTGACAAAATCAGTTGTACATCTACTTAAATATGTCTGTAACAAATGGCCTCATGGTTGTTAATTGTATCTTTCAAAAATGCCCTGGATATAACTCCTTGATCAATGTGTGCATGCTGCTTGCTTTCCTAATTTGAAATCAAGTTTAGCCATGTTTGTTTGCATCTATTGATCCAGTGCTTTTGCCCAAGCTCCATACCTGGTCTTCCCAAAAGAAATTATAGCCATGAGCCATAAATGAATGTATCTATTCTAACAAAATATTGTTCTTTGGAACATTTTTATTTAACTTTGAACAGAATGGGTATTTTACATTTCCTCTTTGTAATGTACATAGGGCTAACACTCATGCATTATCCCTGCTACTCAATTTCAGGGTGGATGGTAGCTCACCCAGTTTCTACATCACTGATGTTAATCAGTATTATATTTTTTTGTCAAGCAAAATAATTTTTTCTATCAGACATAACCTATGGACATAGAACACTAATTAGCAAGTTAAAATTAAAAAAAAAACAAATGAGAATAAGATTTAAAATTTCCTATTGAATTGAATTCAATGTTTATGACTTTCAGTTCTAAGGTGATTTAATACAGTAATAATTTAACACACACACACACAATAGTCTATTTGTGGCTCATATGGCTGATCTAAAGTATGGGATGAAATCAGTTTTAAGCATTAGGGGACTGGTCATAGTCTAGTGGTTAGCATGCCCAGATTGTGGTTTTGAGAGTTCATTGTTCATGTCCTATTGCCACAAAAATACACTCCACAATCTGGGGCCATGTGTGGTTATAACATTGACAGTCACATCCACTATTCAGTCAATAAATAGTTGCCTTCTTTCTACTCTATCGGTTCAGTATTACAGATGACTATGCACAGGTAACTATTATGTTACTTTGAACAAAAATTCTGAAGTAAACAGTTTTTAACGTCAGGCTTCATTTCCATAAAATTATTTTAAATTGAAGTTTCAATTGTATAGAATTTTATAGAAAAACATATTTAAAATTTGTATAAAGTTATGGGTCTATATTTAAATCCTAAATATTAGTTAGTAACAGTTAGTGATAACTAGTGATACATTCTTTACTTCAGGATTAATTGTTTTATTTAATTAATAATTTGCTTTTATATTAATGTAAGGAGTTTGTGAAGATGATCTAGTGCTGGAAGTGGTTGTCCTAATTGGAACTGTGGTAGCAGATGAATCATGTGCTCGTTTCATAGCCAAGTCTGGGATCTTAAAGTCTCTGATTGAACTTCTAAATGGCAAGTGGATCACTTAATTTTTTGTTATTGAGTACTGGAATGAATTAGCCATAAAATCACCATTGAAAGATACTAGCCTTTCATGTTCACTTTTTACAAAATTACTGAACTAAAGAAAACCACACTATACTATACTTCAGCGACTAAATCAGTGAAAACATAACTATTGATGATATGTTGTGTTCATAACAAATTGCATTAAAATTGTATTCTGGAAGTGAAACATAAAGTATTGGTAATTTTTATATTGTGAGCTAATGGTAAATAAAAATAAATAAAATTGTGTATGTGTATATACAAAAAGTTGAAAGGTATTTACTGTGATCAGTGATACTATCAAGTGATAATTTTCTTTATTCAGTAAATGCATTCTTGACATGACAAACTTAATGGTACATTCTTATAAATAACTTTTTGCTAGTGTGAACACTGATAAAATAATACAGATCACTTTATTTCATTAGACTTTTTGTCAAATTATACATTATATTGAAATGTTTTATATATAAGTATCAAGTGTATTACGCTATTCCAAGTTACACTAGCACTGCTTAAGTTCAGTTAAATAGTTTATCAAATTTAAACATGATATAGATTAAACTTTAAAATTATAGTTTAATATATAAAATTATAAGAATAATACTGAAAAAAATGCATGTTAAGAGTAAACAAATACCAAAAGCAAAATTAAAAAAAAAAGAATAATATACACAAAGAAAATATTTAGTTACTATATATAAAACCAGAAAGGAGAACTAAAATTATATTATTCACCAATATCAGAAGTATACCATCTTGCGTGAGATGATAAAGATCAAACTGGAAGTATATGTACAGTGATATCACTTATCTTCCTTGCTTAGTTGACTACAATAATTATAATTATGTTTATGTCATGTTTACAACCATAAATTTTAAATGAAAATCTCATTACAAACTAAAACAATTTTGCCTAAGAATAAAAGTTAAAAAAATATGAACATCTAAAATTTATTGAACTTAACATATTTATTTACTTTTGTAATATTATTTTTAATAACACACATTTTTTTGTTTTCATTTTAAATCAGAGGAACTCAAGTATCACTTCTGTAAATTAATTAAGACTTAAATATTTTTTTCTTTATTGTACTTAGAAACAATCTGTAGCATGTTTTGGAATTCCATCTTTAAATTTCTTTGTTCTTGTACATTTATGTGTATGCAATCAAATGAAACATTTAGTTGTAAAATTGTTAAAAGCCACATAATTATTATTTCCTTGCCACATCGTGTAAAAGTTTATTTTGTTTTTCCCAGCTAAGCAAGAGGACGATGAGGTAGTTCTACAAATTGTATATGTATTTCACCATCTTATTAAACATCCTTCCACTCAGGAGCAAATGATCAAGGAGACTCGTATCCTTTTATATCAAAATGTAGACAATTTACAAAGTTTTAACTTATAGAAACTTTCAAACTGTGTGAAATTCTCCTTTATTTAAAGGAAAAACTTTAATTATAATATCACTATTATGTTTAGAAATTCATGTGATTGAATGTATAGGATGAATATGCTCCCTTGTGAACACAAGAAAGTATTACTTGCAAATGAACCTTGGTAAAGCTTTAGTTTTTACTCAAGTGAGGAAATAGGTTAATCTTGCATAACAAACCATAAGGAATTTCGTACCCACTTATAAAAGATTTTTTTGCATATAACCGAGTTTTAAACCTTACAAGAAAATACGACTTTGGCTTTTCATCACTTAACAGTTTTTACATAATACTCATTAAGGAGCTATTAAAATGCTTTTCTTAATTTCTTTTTTTTTAAAAAGCGACAGACAGAACTGCATTAAAATAGTGTATTAGTACCACAGACAAATAAAAGGGGCTGACAAAAATAAAAGGTCATACGAATAGAATAATTTAATATTATTCATCTTATAAACATAAAGTTGTTAATAAAGAAGTATGAATAACAGTGGTTAAAGTTGGTTAAAAAAAACATTTAATCATATAATTAACATCAATGGCACCATAACCATAAATGTCCTTGTCATAGATATGATTGCCTTGAAAAAAAAAGAAAAAAAAGATGATTTATATTTAAAAAAAATAATTGTTTTTTTCACTTTTGTTTTTATGTTCAAAATACTGGATGATTGTTATGTAAAAAGCTTTTCCAGTAATAGTGCTCAGAGGTAGATCTAAAGACAATAAGCCAGAATGCATGTCATTGATTTCAAGTTTTTTTGATATTATTCATAACATTGAAAGCCTAATGTTTAAACTTGTGGGTTCATAATTGCTTCATTAAGATGATTTAAAGGGGGATTTTGTTTACACGTGGTGACTCAAAAGTATATACATTTTACTTGTTTAGTTTCAGTCAGTAAGGAATAATTATCAATACATTGAACTTTTTTGTGATATTGTTTTGGTTTGTGAAAAATAAGTAGCAGAAAACTTTTGTAGTTAATGTGCTTTGTTTGATGTAAGAATAATTCTACATCGTATGATGTATTTTTCATTAAATTTTCCAGCTTATTAAGCCTTACCAATTGTAATAGGAAATAAAATTATGAAGTGGAATTCAGTTTTCTTTTGCTTTGATAAAAAAGAAGCAACCAGTGTGTTTATTAAAATAGGATATTGTAAAGCAAAAATTCTTTGTATACAAGATTTAGATTTGAGTGATCTGAGATGTACATTTTAAGCTTTGTGAGATATATTTGTATTATTCTCTCAATTGGTGTTATATATTCCCATGTTCATTTAGTAGCCTCCATTTCCAAACTAACTTGTCATTTAAACACACATTGTTTCAATAAACTATCAGTTGAGTGTGTTCTTAGCTCACCAAGCTTTATGGTATGTTTTCTTTTCTCTGATTTTCAGAAATACAAGACAGAATGAAAAGTGTTTCCAAATATACATCTTAAGTTGCTAGTCATTTTTCTCACCATAACGTTTTTGTGTGCTTAAAATAAAATTTAGCAACTTATTTGAAGACACTACTCAAAGCACAATTAAACTTTTGTTTCAAGAAATCCAAACATTTCTCTCCCTCTCATATTTTGTCTTTATGTTTCTACCATCAGAATGTTTGTTGGGTGTACAAAATAATGAATTTCCTTAATTCTATATCAGAAGCACCTGCTTACCTTATTGACCTTCTACATGACACCAACCCAGAAATTAGGAAGATCTGTGATAGCACTTTAGATGTGATTGCTGTAAGTTTGTCTGTGAAATTTACTATATTTAACTTTTTGGATTGTATGAGAAAATTTTTTGTTTTCACTTAATAGAAATATAATGGTACATACATTGAGAAGTACACATATATTTGATATAACATGTTTCTAGCTCATAAATGAAAAAAATCGACTTCAATGAATTGAAAACAAAAATATATTTTTAAACAAAGTTAAATGGTAGTCCATAAACACAGTTGTGAAATAAAATACACCTTAATCTTATAATTCTCCCTTTGTTTGTAAAATAAAATACACCTTAATCTTATAATTCGCCCCATGTTTGTATAATAAAATACACCTTAATCTTATAATTCGCCCCATGTTTGTATAATAAAATACACCTTAATCTTATAATTCTCCCTTTGTTTGTAAAATAAAATACACCTTAATCTTATAATTCGCCCCATGTTTGTATAATAAAATACACCTTAATCTTATAATTCTCCCTTTGTTTGTAAAATAAAATACACCTTAATCTTAAAGTTCGCCCCATGTTTGTATAATAAAATACACCTTAATCTTATAATTCTCCCTTTGTTTGTAAAATAAAATACACCTTAATATTCAAATTCTCCCCATGTGTGTATAATAAAATACACCTTAATCTTAAAATTATCCCTATGTTTGTATAATAGGAACATGATGAGGAATGGGCAAAAAGAATCCAGCTGGATAAGTTTCGTTGGCATAATTCTCAATGGTTAGACATGGTTCAGTCTCAGCAGATGGATGAAGCTGCTGACATGTATATTGATGAACAGATTGGCCCTTTTATTCAAGAGTCAGACATTTTGGAACAGTCAGACTTGATGTATAGTTAGTATGCTCAGTTTTTTATTTTCTTAAACTATATATGTTTCTGTAAGTCTTGCATATTTTAAAACAGTTTAAATTTCCTACACAAGAACAGATTAAATTCTGTTTGTATTCCTGTGAATGTTATGATTTTGGTGTATAATAATTTTCTTAAAGTATTGTGTTTATTTTAGTGGTTATGACATACTTCTATGCATTTTGGAATTATTAAAACTTAGGTTCTGTACATATGGCTGTAAAAACTTTTTATGAAGTGGTATTACTTATTTTATTATGGTTATAATTTTGATAATCTATTATTGCTTTAGATTAAGAACAACTAGTTTGTGTATTATTTCTTTCTATGGACAGCTAATTTATTGACTTTTCAACTCATTGCAATTTTTGTTATAAATTCAACAACACTGGTCAACATGCATCTCATGCTTTCGGATTGCTTAGAACAAAAGGTTTAATTTCCATTTTTTCACATATTATTGTTCGCAGAGTGGGCTTTCAAACTTATGTTTTATTGAGTTCACTTTCACATAGATTTTTTTATGATTGATGCCTTCGTTATGTAGCTGAGTCACAAGCTTTCTATTTTGCTTTTCTGTCTCAGGTTCTTTGGGATAGTCTCATCATTTCCTTTATGTTTAGACTGAGGATGGGCAATAGATTTCTCAATGTCCCTGCTTTTACAGTCATCATGGATTGTTTTGCTAAATATTAGCTTTAAATTTACCTTTGTCTGCTCTTTGAAGGAGGGCTGGGTTCCCTTATTTTCTAACTATACATATTATCCACTTCTTTTATATTTTTATATTTGCTGAAATAATATTAATCTGACAAAATAGAAAATTGCATGCCATGTTCTGTCAAATTCAACATCTTGCCATTTTCTTGATTAGTGTTTCTTGAATATGTTAACTGATGCTAATCTGTGGACACTGCTTGACAGCTTTATTTGTTTTTATCTTTGTTATTGTATCATTCCCTTTGTAGATTTTGATTGGTCCCAGTGGTAGTTTTGCAATCTTTTTTTTTTCATATTTCATTGCTTGAAGCTCTTTATCCTACTTTTCTTTCATGTTTCCATTGATAACTCTTTTTGTGTTCTTTGTACTGTGGATCTAATCCACATCATTAGATATTTATCAATTCTATTTATTCTGCATTTACATGTGTACTTGGAATTAATAAGTTTATAAAATACACAAAAACCATTTTTAGTAGGTTTTACTGTCTTATTTTTGTTTTCCTAAAATACCTACAAGATTATTACTTTGGTTAATAGGACCATGAATTACGGTGCATGAACCAAGTCTTACGTCATTCCTAGGATTCTTCCGTCTTTTTTTCCTTTTTTCTCTTTTCTAGTAGCAGTGTTGTCGTGACTCACCCTCTCCCCTACATCTCTGAACAACTTTGTTAGAGGATAGAAGTAGAATTAGCAACAAAACTCCAACTGTAAAATTTTCTTGGCTCCAGTAAAATATGACACTTTTATATTTTATACCCATCTATGCCACTTTTCAAATGCTTTTAAGCACTCTCAAAAGCTTTTTAATTATTGATACTGAGCTTACCAAATGACAAATTACACTTTTCCTTGCTCAAAAAAAAAAAAGATGATATTTTCTGTTCAGTTCTGGACTTTTTCTTCCTTTATTCCCCTTCACAATCATGAATTTTGTAATCCTAGTAAAAATTTTTTAATTTGATTAAGTTGTTATATATTTTATTAGAGAAAAGCACTAAAAACCATTTATCATTGATTCAGTGTGAAAATCCCTTAACAAGAGCATACAGCCCCTGGGAATAAAAATTGTAGGTGTACCATTTTTTACCTCTTTTGGAAGTAAGTGGTTAAAAAGCTTGTAGCTTAGACATGTATAAGAAGTAAGTCAACACAAACTTCATATTTTTTATGGTATATTAATTTCAATTAGGTACTGCTCTCCCCACCCTCTCATTTAATTGATATGGAAGGATCACTGGGTTAATGTATGTGTGTAATCTTGTTCACAGAAGTAAATCATACAAACAAGAGAGAAATGTTACTATAGGATTTCCAGTAAGTGGCAAAAGCTAGGGTTAGTGCAGTTAAGGTGGAAGATAAGTTAGTAACATAAAAATGTACGTATCTGTTTAAAGTTCACTTTTGAAAATGCATTTAAAAAGGTTCTTGAATCAGTCTACTTATCATTAGCATGCACATATTTCTAAATACTTCCTATTCATATTTCTTGGAAAAGCATCTAGCTTCACAGAAGTAGTAAAACACAAAAAAAAACATCATTATATTAAAAGATAGAAATAGATTCTAGAAGAAAACAAAGATCAGACTTGTGATCTTCAGTGCCATCATCATGATGTTTCTCTGGTGACCAATCAAACAGCAGAAGTGTGCATTTGTATCATAACACTCGTACAAAAGTCAGGATGTTGGAGTGTACCACAATAGCAGTGTCAATGAAGATCACAAGCCTAATCTTTTCTTTTTATGTTAATTTGTTTATATAAAAAAAAGAACACTGTAAATGAATCATTTATTATTTTTTTTCCTTTATTTTTACCAGGTGGCTACGACTCTCTTAGTGCTGAAGGTAACCTATCTCCTGAATTTCTGGATGCCAGTCGAAGTAATAGGACTACAGAATCTGCAGGAAGACCCATGTCAAGGTATAAGAACAGGTGAGAAAATATGTTTATATTTTGTTACCATCATATTGCTTTAATAATAACTACTGACAAACCAATTCTTTTTCAGATATTATTAGTTCAGTCTTTAAGGTTATGACAGATCTTGAATGTACATTCCATTTAGGAAAATGACCTGTAACATTTATATTCTTTTAAAATTGCCACACACATGGGCTATAGAAAGAAATGATGCTTTCACATGGAAAGTTCTAAAAACAGCTTGGTTTCATTTATGGTTTAGACAGCCGTGACTAATTCCATGGCTACACTATAGAAATCATAGCTCTTGGAAGTCGTCATTTGTACTTGTATGTTGTTAAGAAAGTCATTTAATTTCAATGATTAGCAAGTGAAGAGTACCTGATGTTTAATACTCTTATCACTACTTTTGGAGGTCGTTGAAAAAAAACAGCCCTTCATCAGATATTTTAGCTTCAGATCAGACAAAGGTTTATGGGGTTTTTAAGTTCTTTTTAACTCATCATATAGTATCTTAGATTAAGTTAGGTGTGTTAATAATATTATGACATTATGTCTTATTTATTATTCAATATTATACAGTAGACCAATAAGCATTAAATGGATGAAGTTTTGTTCAATCATTATCTTTGTTGGTTGCCATATGTTGTATAATTTTTCACACATATTTCAGTGACATTGGTAATGTTAAAGGTAGAGTTTGTGAAGTAGATTGGATTGGATTACTGTTCCTTTATTAAATTTAATAACAGAAGTGATACGTTGTAAGAAAAAGGCGAATATGCTGGTTGTTTACTAGCACTTCAATTATTTAAGTGTTATACAGAAAAATCATGTTACAAAGGAATTACGTTAGTTGTTGTGGGGCCATGTGCAGTCTAGTGGTTAGCATGTCAGACTGTCTTTCCATGGTTCATACCCAATTACTACCAGAAAAATAATTACACTCTGCACTTATGAACTGTGGGTACATTATAAGAGTGACAGTCACATTCCACTATTTGATTATAGTAATACCAACTTGAAAGTGGGTAGTATTCACTAACTGACTTCCTCCTAAGCTATCACTTCAAGATTAGGGATGGCAATACAAATAGGTCTCAAGTAGCTTTGCACAAAATTCAACAAACAATAACAAATAAATTTTTATGTTTTGTAAATTAAGTAATTAAAATGTGCTCTAGTTTTACAAGAAACATCAATTTTTCTTAATCAAAGTTTCAAACGATTGTGCCACTTGTATGTAATTCAAGGCTAAATTATTTGAGCCACGTTAATTAGATTCTAAGACAAATTGTTTATGTTAGGTTTTAGTTAGAAAGTAATTTTTTTGTTTCAAGTTACATAAAAATTAAATCAGACTACGAAAACAGATTGAAAGGATCAAAAGTAATGTACTGTATTTCTTCAAATGAAGTGAGACCTACATATGATTCTTTGAACAACATAAAAAATAACATAAGACTCCAGGTTTAGGCATACATTCCCACAAAGACCATTAAGTTTGTTTGATACTGATGACATCTTGTATATGTTAAGTTAAACAAACACTATTATTTATGATTAGTGGGATAAATATTTTTTACTTTCTAATTATGTGATTCAAATCATAACATAAGTAAAAAAGGAAAATCATAAGTTAAATCAGATTTTATTTGTATGTAGAAAAATAGTTTATGGTATTTGTCAAATTCAAAAATGAGTGTTATGTTACTGATGACTTTAGTCAGTTAGCTTTGATAACATGGTTACCATCATAAGGGTTGATGGTAATCAAGTTACCAAACCTAATCAATTAAATAATTAGTCATAAAACATTATTCAATGTTCCAAATATTGTTTCTTCTGCTTCTTTACATAAAATAGCACAATGTACAAAAAAAACAATTATATAGAACATTACCTTTTGTGTTTGATAAATGTTGTACAGTACTCAGCTCTTTCCCAAACAGCTTACTGTGCAGAGAAGATTACTTTAGTGACTTAGCACTAGAAGATATTGCTTGCTATTTAACTTAAATAAACAAATCTCTCTGTTAATAAAAATTGAAAAATTATGCTTGTAGTACAGTCACGAAAACTTACAAGGCTTGAGATGATATTAGAGAACAGCTCATATCTATATGGATTTATTGCAGTCACACTAAATCCTTAAGAAATAGAACTTTAGTTCTCTATTTTTAGTCTAGAAGTAAGTGATTATTTTCTCTGTTTCTTGTTATGTATCAAGATATAAAGGAAAAAGTTTTATACTTTAGGCTGTGTTAAATTAATTAATTGGCTCTTGGATGAGTGTGGGTGGAGTGTCTTTTGTTTTGTTTTGTCGTTTTCCAGCTAGTGATGTGTATGAATATTGTTGATTAAAATAAGTATCATTTGACATATGATGAAGCTTCATATCAGATGTTTACCCACATTGAATATCCCATGAGTGACGATAAGTTTCTCTTGTAACTATGGTAAACAGTTGCATAGTAAACTGACAAATAGAAATTAAGGAAAAGCTAGGTCTCACTGTAATTTTTTCAAAATACCTGCTTGAGGAGCAATTTTAATTTATTTTATTTACTTAGCTTTAATAATAGAAGTGTTTGAAAATATAAAGAAAGATACTAGCCTAGCTGGAAGTATGAAGTACATTTTGTTTATAATATGTCAGTTTTAGCAAACTTTAGTAGATGTAAGTACATACAGCTATTACTGTATTAATATTTGAAAAACTTGTAAATTAATGTGTATATTTTCTTACATGGTATAATGTCTGAACTTTTTTATTATACTAACTGAATAATTATTTGGTATCAGTCATAGAAACATGAATATTGCTCGAGTCTAAAAAAATTAAAGAAATTAAACTTTATTTGGAAAGTATTACATGTAAGCCCTGATTTTGTTCAATCAAAAAATAACATAAGTGTTGGTAAACAAAATAAGTGAGTACCAAAACTGTGCATGAAGCACCAGAACTTTTATATCTGTACATGTACATCTGCAGACCAATCACTGCCAGTAGTACAAGATCTCAAGCAAAGATTTCCTGTGATCAGCTTCCTGTGAGTAAATGTTAATCTTGTCTTGAGAGCATCACCGTGTGATAGTAGTCACAAGCCTGCACATTTTTTGATGACTTAAACTCCCAAAGCTGATAAAGCATGAGCTGTTTTTTTTTAGGGTAGCATGTGAGATAAAACATCTTGGTGAGAATGTAAGTATTTTTCTAACATCTCATCTGTAAGTGGACCAATATGTATTTCCAATAAGAGACTTGTATCAATAGCATTTTTATGTTTTTCACCATATTATGTCAAGATTTCTGGGCTATAACATTCAAAGCCTTAGGTTATTTGAGAGGGAACTATGAAAAAAATATTTACATTCTTTCTTGATGTTATCATGAAAAACAAAATTTGCACATTTTTGTTTTGCAATGGCATTTTGCACAGCTATTGTCATATATCAAGCTCTTTTTGATGATAAAAGGTGAGCTTTTCTCTTTCTTTTATTGCACAAGTGAGAAATTATCATATTTATTTAATACATCATACTCCACATTAAGCTATAATAAGGTTTTTTATTGAAGAATTAGCAATAATTGCCAGCTTGTTTAGTTTTTTTTTAATGATGAAGTATTAATTTTTTTTACTAGAAACATGTTGAACTAGGCCAGATTCTGTAACAATTTAGTTATTAAAGGCTTATTATATTTTAATGTGCAGGGAAAATTAAATTTTTAAACGCTATTAAATACTTTAAAGCCTTTGTACAAATACATCCAGAATGGGCTACAGCAAATCCCTCAACAGAAATATGAAGCATGCTAATTCTGTTGTAAATCTTTTGACTTTTTATGTCTTTTGTCACACATACATTGGTGATCTTTCAAGTAAATCTTAATCAGGTTGTTGTGTAATCTGCAGTTTTGTTTTCCTTTATTGGGGGTTTGCTGTGGTCCACCGTGTATATATATGTATGTGTATATTCGAATAAACTTTTTAATTACTCATATTTAGATCTGGCACATTGATTGTTTACGTGGTTATTTCATTGGAAAGCTAAATTAATATCTAACTGTTATTGTTTTGTAGATATAGTGTTGACGTGGACATGTTGAGAGATCGAATGTCATCACTGGGTGTGGATAGCAACATTTACTATAAGCGGCCACCATCTGTAGCCTTTGTTAATGGAAATGCCATAGACAACAGTGCACCAAACACTGGAATGTTTTTATTTCATTGAAGAATTCAGTAAAAATGTACACTTAGCCATAAATCCTGATAATGCTGTCGTGTCAGATTGTGTTGTGATGGTTGAGGAATGTAATGGAAGCTGCAACGTAGGAGACAATATATTGATTAGAATTCTGCATCAGACATAAGAAAATTAGCATATGAAGATTGTTTATTCATCAGATAGATATATGGGATTCTTTTTAATAATCTGCATTGTGAAGATACCAGTATTTAATTTTTAAATGATATTGTCAATGAAATTAGTTGTTGTTTTTCTCATTTCACCTTATCTCTCTTTTACTTGAAATTGACATAAATGCTATTGAGTACATCCAGTAAAGCTAAAGCCTATTTTTGTGTGTATAAAGTATTATTGATATTATAAAATTTATTTAGTAGTGCCAAGTAGTTGCCTTTCACATTTACCTCTTATAGTGTTTGTATGTAAATTATTACACTCTTTATTTCTATTTCTTGTTTTTTGTTGTTGTTGTTTTTCAGAATATGTCTAAAAGGTCATTATTTATGAACCACTTGCCTAATTTATTTGATATTTTTATGGTTTAGGAGACTTGTGGGAAGGGGGAAACCTTATCTTTGGGAAGCTGAGATTTTATTTATAAATTTGTGCTTTGATAAAATAAAAGTTACTCTGAGAATTGTTCACAGAGCAAAATGAAAACAAATTAAGATATTTTTTTGGTTACTGTCAGCTATTGGAAACAGCATTATATGGATTTAAAAAGTAAGTACAGATTGTACAAAGAGTAACTTCTTTATACACCTAAATAACAAATATTCCTTGAAATTTTTGAGAATTTGTTGTGTAAGTTTTGTAACACATAACTTCCATTAATCTTTTCCATTTTTAACAGCTTTACATTATACTTACACTATGTGACATGCTTACATTGTCTAGCATTTTATAGTACCTAGAGCAGAATGTTGTTGGTGTAGATGCTTCAATTCCCTACATTTCTATAAGTCAAGCTGTTATACAATCATGTAGTTAGGACATTGCATATTTTGAGTAGAAATATTCTGAAGTAACATAGTTATTATCATATGCATTTGTGCAATAGTTAAGAAGGAAAAAAAGTATATTGTTACAGGAAAATATAACATTACAGGCTGTTTTTTCACACACTGATTTATTAGTGATCCTTGTGATTTGTTGTTGATTACTGTGTCCTACTTAAGTGCTTATGCATGGTTCTCATAACTTTATGATTTTTGAAGACTAAGGTGTAAAAAAATCTTATTAGAGAATTTCAGACATACAGATCAAAATTGTATGTAAAATAATATAGTTTTAGATGTATATTTAGTTATTTATTTTATTTATAAATATTCTACTTCAAGAGCACATGTAATCTTTGTCATAAAAGAATAAATGAATATTGCAAGAAGCAGACTTATTTGTGCATTTTTTGAAAAATGTTTGAATGTATGCAGTTATTTACACATCAAACCACCTAAAGAGCCAGTGGAGAAAAACACAATTTAAAGCATATGCTGTGAATATCGATTCCAGTACATTGGAGAGAAAAATAAAATAAAATCAACAAAAGCTAGAATTCAGTGACAAAATATACATACAAAATTTGATAATAGCGATCTACCTGGAATAGCCATTTATGGCAAAGAAGATCAGATGGTAAATTAAAATAATGCTAAAATAATAAACCACATATGAGAAAAAGAAAGATAAAAGAAACCTACTACATCCAACTTACTGTTAATGCATTCAGTCAATTTAGCATAGAGGTTGTCAAAACCTCAATACCCCTTTTGAAAACTTTTAAGTAGTTAGTTGATCCGAGTTCTAAGGATGAAAATCCCTTGTTGAATGGGAAATGCACCAAACTTCAGTCAAAAAGACCAGGATTTAAAAAAATTCAAACTGCCACTGTTAAACACAAAAAAAGTCTTCAGTGCTTTCCAGAAGATGGCAGCAAATTAGCAGTAAAAATGAAGGATTAAAACTAATTAGTATCTAACTATTGAAAAAATGTAATAATAAAGCTACTATTTAATAATAAGGCTACTACCTATGACAATGATATTCAGATTATGTTGCAAGTGAGTAAAATATCAAATGGTATGACCACACATTCCCAAACAAGAGTTGTATATAAGATGAGAGAGAACGTATATCTCAATATTTTGGTCTTTGATAAAAAGGAGAAACATTTTCATGGAGTACGAAATGCAAATATACAGTCAAAGTATATTAATTTTAACTCAAAATTTTGTCCTTGTTCCACTTCATGCTTATTCAAAATTTAATTTACTAAAAATGATTTAAAACTGTAATATTAGAATGAAATTTGACTTATTTTTATCTTGTTTGAGATTTTTTTCTCTATGACAGAATTTAGAGATTTATGCCATTTGTTTTCATAAATTATTAACAGATTAGAATTTTTCATTAAAGACTAGTATAGTTAAAAGTTTTTGTTTGTTTCTGCATTCTATGACGAGAAACCCGATTTGAGACTAATAATGCTTGGAGACGGCTTGAATGGGTAATTAAGAAAAACTTTAATATAAGTTTAACATAACAACAAATGTACAACGTTTCGACAAGGTTTTGTCACCATCGGATACAAGCATTGTTCGATTGGTACGGGGGGGGGGCAGCTATTAAAAGGGTAAGCTAAAAACCATTTTGGGGTAGTTTCAGCTCCAGCAGTCTCACTCCCTTACCGCTGCCTCTGCTTATAAGCAAACTGAATAACTTGGTTTATTTTATGAAGTACAAAAATCGTTACTGTTATATTCATGAGTCTTTTATTAAAGGAATATTCATAATCTTACTTCCTGCCAATAACCGTGTTATTTCGTTGATAATTTAATAAAAAACTAAATCTGTCACAAAAAATTTGATAGCGTATTACTATGGCTTCCCATGTGAATAATAACCTTATTGATGAAACGCACAACACATTCGAAATATGATTAGTTAACAACCCTGGATACAAATTACTTATAACTTCCAAGTAAGGAAGAAAAAGTTTTTTATGTTTAGTCTTGTATAACATGCTAGTAAAGTTTCAACGGGAGCTTATTAGATTATTGCGGTAATTGTGTGTATAATTTGATTGTTTGTATCTATTTATTTATTTATTTTTATATCAGTTACCGTAAAATAGTGTATGTCGGTCAGATTATCGATTTACATCGGTCCCACTAGTGGAGTAGAAGTATTATAAAATGCCATAAACAAAAAAATTGACATGAGAACTCGTACCTTCAAACTGACCTTATATTTTAAAATCGCTGGTTAGCATGCTGGACTATGAAATCGAGTGTCCATTGTTCGCGTTTCTTTGCCGCAAAATCGTGCTGCATACCTTTATAAGAAAGACGGATAAATCGCGCTGTTCAATTAGAATAACACAAGAATTGGAGATAAGTGATGTTGAGTTACTGTCTCTAAACCTTCCAGGGTTCAAAATAGTGCTCATAAAAGTGACCTATTTATATGTATGTGTATGCATATATATATGATAGAAGAAAGCTAAAGAGTTGCCTGTTAGCAGAAGTATGCAATTACAGTTGATGGTTTTTTTGCTTCGGAAGTTTCTCCAACATGCCACTGAAGGGATTGAAATAGAAGGCGTATTAATTAACAAATAACCAAACATTTTTATATCCATAAACTGCGCTCTTTTAATTATATAACGTCATACAAAAACGGTCGTGTTCATATAATGAAAAATAAGCTACGGTAAGAACATTAAAGTGCACAGTAGTTTATGTTTTAGTATATTTTTTATGCATGATTAATATTTCGATTATGCGTCCATTTAATATACATATAAAATATTCCTCTTATTATTCTGTTAATTTTCTCTAAGTTCATTGCCTACTTAGTAATATAATTAAAGCAACTGATTGGCTGTTTCTATAATGCTTTTGGATATAAAAAATCTAGGTACTTAGATTTGTAGTCATAAAACTGCAAAAACAATGCCAGCCCTGTATGCCTATAAATAACAATAAATTATCTAGTTATCATTAGGATGTCTAAAAATTAAGACAACTAATTTTATTCTAGCAAATTCTGAATTTCTTTAACTGTTATCGACAAAACTGTTCATTTTTATTAGGAAACGGTTTCCAAAGCTTTTATCTATCTTCAGCTGCTTGAGGACTTATAATGACAAAATTCATAGTCCGATCCTTGCAGTGGGCAGTGCAGATAGTCTGTTGTGCAGCTTTGTGTTTACACAGAGTAGGGCACAGGTAGCCCTTTGTGTAGCTTTGCGCTTAATAACAAATAACAACAACGGCGTTAAACAAATTCCCTAGGTAGCGCTTTGATCATCATAGAATGGCGGCCTGCCTGAGCACAGGTGTGGGATTTGTAACCAAATCACTTGTATTTTTTTCTACGAAGCACAAGATACCTGACTTCAGGATATTAACAAGATTTGCTTCCAGTTCGACGTATGCAAAATCGTCAAAAGTGGAGTTTTTCTCTTCGACCACTAAGCGTGTTATCGTTGGAAGCATTTTCGGAAGCTTCGTGGGAGGATTTTATGCATATAAAACTTTTCCCAGCAATAAACTTAAAAGTAGCGAGAGAAAACAGCAATATGTGGCATCACACGCAGAGTTTTTGACAGACAATTATATTGTTCCACCAGATATAAAACCTTCTAGACATGTAAGAAATTATAATAATTGTGTAAAGTAATATTAACTAGTTTAACTTGGGTCTTACTCTTAGCAATTGGGATATGAACTTGAAGTCTTACCGTTTATAAAGTACAGTGTATGTGGTGTAAAATTGAATTGCTTGGAACTCACTGCTCAACAACTTGAACAAGTTCACTGATGTCATTATAAGTCTATGAATGTATGCACATCCTCCCAGTTTACATATTCTATGCAAGTCCCAAAGCAAAGGTGTAAAAGGAACTGAGTATGATTTAACTTTGAGGCTATAGTTGCCGTAATAATATTAAAGAAATTAGAATATAATATTTTGGGAATGTTGTTGTATATGACAATGATACATATAGTTTCTGCCTTTTTTTTTGATTAGTTAAAATGTGTTTTATAAAATACATGGAAACTCCAGTTGGTCCAATTCTAAGATATATTAAGGTTCTTTGCATACCAGTTTTTTTCTTTGTAACTTATCATAATTTTGAAACAAAACTACTGGAAGGGCCACATTCTGTGTAAAGCATGATATACATCCAGGCCAAATGATTTTAATTGTAGTGAACATAACCATTTACATTTGGATGCCAGTTATTTTACAATACTCAACTCATTTCTTTTCAAAATAACAATAAATAAGATGTTTGTTGTAAAAGGAATATTTTATGACCAAATGTAACAAAGAAATTTAGAGTTTGTTTTGTTTGCATAAGAAATTTTAGGATATTTCGAGTGTCATACTTTAGCTCTTTCTTTGAAATATACAGGTGGTTAGGGCGCTCGACTCGCAATCTGCGGGTCGCGGGTTCGAATCCCCGTCACACCAAACATGCACGCCCTTTCAGCAGTGGGGGCGTTATAATGTGATGGTCAATCCCACTATTCGTTGGTAAAAGAGTAGCCCAAGAGTTGGCGGTGGGTGGTGATGACTAGCTGCCTT